CTGGGTGCCCCGGGAGCTAAGATTTACCAATGTAAAAATTGTAGCTTATGCTATACTGCGCGATCTACCTTTCATATATATATATATATATATATATATATATATATGAACGGGTTGCGATGGATAAATTGTCGTCTAAAATACGCAAAATGGAAAATAATATTGCGATATCTTGAATTATTAATACTTATTCAAGAAAATAACCATTGGCCTCAACTACTACTGTATCTCTTCTGGACGTCTCCTTGTTTAAGTTGGTGAATGCTGGAAAATATTCCTTCATCTTTGGTGTTAGAAAGAGTTTTCTAGTCGTTCGCTCATCTGCGCCACACAATTAATAATCAAGTGGGTTGAAAACTGGGCAGTTAGATGGCCAGATATAAGGGGGATGTGGTCGCAGAAATTGTCAGAGAACCACTTGTGTGACATGGGATCTTCCAGCTGCATCTTCCTTACCAAGGGAAGCACTACCTCCTCAAGGCACTTGATGTAGTCATTCGTATTGAGTCTGAGGCTATGTGGGAAGATGAATGGAGGCTTGAGATCTCCATCACTCCAAACACTTTCGTAATTACCACTAAACGTATCCAAAGGTTTCTGAATTTTCGCACGTTCCTCAGACTGACACCCAAACACTGAGATGTTTGTATTGGAGCTTCCGGTGCGAATACCAAACAGTACAGCATTCCGTCTCCAAGTTTTTGGCGGAGTGCATTCGTCATTGTCCTCTTTTTCTCACAAACGGTGACCCTATTATTCTGCACAGTCAACAAAAATCAAAAACAAACAACGTGCATGCGCGAAATTAAATATAAAATGGCGAAAATTTACCCATCGCATCATATGTAGTTTTAAAAATAAAACAATATATCTTGGCTGTAAACCATTTTTTAGACTTTTGTCATTAAATAATGCAACCGATTTTTTTTATTCTTTTGATAATCTTTTATTTTTTTACCTTCCAGTTGTCGTGTGAGCTTTCATGTCCAGTTTGTGAAAGAGAAACTCTAAAATCTCTTTCAAAGCACTTTCGATCATCGTCAAGCGGGAATATTGTTACTTTTTGTCTGTTACTTTGGCGGTTTTGTTAATTCGTATTCAAAAAATTGTTGTTTCAGAAAGATTCATTATTGGTGGTGGCGTTTAGGTATTATTAAATTGGTGTGGCAGCTATTAAATGTGTTCAGTTGACGAAATCAAGATTGAATTATTGTCCACGAAACTTGCAGTCTACCTTTCTGTATAAAATTTAAAAAAAAAAATCAATCTGTTGCTTTCACTTGGGCGTGAACCCCGACCTCCAGCATTCTAGCAAACTAGAAACAACTATATTATTATAATTTGCAACAATCAGCTAAATAACCAAGAAATGCTAGGAATATTTTTCCAGTTTTACCCAATTCCTAACAAACTACATGTTCATTCCTCATTTGGTGATCTTTATGTTCGGCCTTTTGTCACATCTAAGCACCTAAAAAAGATCACCATAAGCAACTCTAATATTTCCAAAGTTCTTCTACTGGAGAGAGTTTCAATTTAGCAATGATTCAACTGCATTTTATAACAAATATGTCGATCAGGATATTTTACACTATGTACACCGATATTATATGCGAGTGAAGTTCATGAGATTTCACTTTGATACCCTAACTGATGAGTACATGTTAAATATAAAATGTCAAATAGAAATCACCAAGACGTCGAATTAAAGTATGCTGTGGGTTTTAGTAATCGACGTTCGTGCAATTTCTAGAGCTTCGCCGATGAAATTTGTCAGGATTTAACTGCCTTGAATAAGAAAAAGCGCATTTTTAAATTTGGTCTTTTCAATTTTATATAATCTTAAACATAAATGGTCCATTGTTAATTAAGTTACTTCCATTTATGTACGAAATTTTGCGAGGTGCGATGAATTGTATTTTGATGTTATCTACTTTAACAAGGTACAAAAAGTAACGCGTGAAGATTGAATTTCATACAGAAATTGATTGACTGCAAGGAATTCTAAAAATGCTTGCCATCGTGACATGTTGTGACTGAATCTTTTTTCTTGAAGTAGGTGACCTTGAGACTGATTTTTTTTTTTTTTAAGAGTAATAATCTTTCCCTTTAACTGTAGATCTATTTTGATCAGATATATAACCGTGCCTGCTAAAAATAAATGTCCACGCAAACAACACATACAAATGATTTTCCAATTTTCTTTCCGTGAATATTTACCACGCAATGATTCTTTCAATTTTCCATATTCTTTTTTCTTGGAATTTTAAATAGCGTTTTATTTATTTCCTCTTATTTTCCTTTCATTTCACCCTTCTTGCCTTTTCTTTCCTTCCTTGTTTTGTCTTTCTTTCCGTCGCCTGTTTTTACTATTTTTTTCTTTCTCTTTTCTCCTTTTTTATCCATCGCCTTCCTTTCTCTTATATCCGTCCGAGTGATTATATAGATTTTGTCCTCAAATATCGAAAGTGAATGAAATAAAACTAAATAAATCAGTATGGTCTACTAGTGTAATCATGCCGAAGAAACCCATCAAAACTTGCTACGGTTAATTTCGAAGCGCAACATAGATGTGATATAGTGCACCCAATAAGGATCGAACTCACTATTCAGTTGTAATTAGCGAGACAAGCTTGCTCACAAATAAATTAAGTCGAGATGCCATCAAAACTTCTTACGGATGAGGAATAGTTAAGATTTTTTGTGTGGAGTAAAATGTAAAATTAAAACAAAATATAAAATTGATATTAATTAAAATTAATATGGGTTATGTGAAAACTGGAAGACGTTGATTGGCAAAAAGAAAAAAAAAAATTTATTCAAATTAACTGAAGGAAATACTAACTGAAGTAGCGGAGAAGATATATGGAAACGAAATATTACTGAAGTAAATAAATGAGGTAGAATGACGAAGCACACAAAATGAAATCGATACGAAATGTTTATATATATATATATATATATGTATGTATGTGTGTGTAGAGAGAAAAAGAGAAATGCCGATATATATAGATAGAAATGGAGGGAGTTGAAAAAAGCTGAATGTGGCACGGCAGAAAAAGAAAAAAAATGAAAGTACTCCAATTTATATTGAATAAATGCAAAAAAAAATGATATAGATATTAAACTAACATTGGGAAAATTAACCTCACGACGAACGGTTAAACATTCTATGAGTTTCCATGCTTTAGACGTCTTAAGATGGGTCTTAAATTCACACCAGACTTTCACTGGTACTCACATATAGGTTGCGATGGGTAAATTGTCGCTATTTTATAGATTTAATTTCGCGTATCCGCTATACAATTTTTTTTAATTTATTTTGTCCACTGTAGTTGAATCAGTTGCCATCGTCAGTGAGAAAAAGAGTATCATGCCGGGATTCATTCCATCAGAAATTAAGTGACTTTTTGGCATTTGCCCTGGAACATCCTGTGTTTCGGGTGTAAATCTGAGGACAGTGCATAAGCTTCAGAAAGAGTTGGTGAGTATAATGGTGATTACAAAGGTGATAACTATCGATGGCGACGTTATATCTCCACTCATCTTCCCACTACCCCTCAGACTCAACACGAAGGCCTATATCAAGTGACTTGCGGAGGTAGTGTTGCACTGGATCTAGCGTGTGGCTGCTGGGAGATCCTATATCTGTGAAAAGAACTACACCATGCCATACAATCAGGGGAAACCCGTCATGGCTGTCAGACAATTTCTACGAACACATCACACCTTACAGCTTGCCATCTCACCCCCAGACTGCGTGTGCCGTAGTTAAACGAGAGACAAAAAAAAACTTCTTGTAACACCAAAGGTGAACTGAAGGCAAGGATTATGGCAGCATTCAAAAACTTAAACAAGGAGACCGTCCAGAAGAGATACAGGAGATTCCAAAGTCGTCTTGAGGCGGTTGTTGAAGCCAATTGCGATTTTATTAAAGAAATTTACATTGTAGTATTTTAAGATATTTTTGTGTAATTTTGGTAAATATATCTGTTAAAGTGAGATGTCAATTTTATTTTCATTTTTCTGTAATTTAGACGATAATTTGTCCATCGCAGCCTGCATAATTTTATGTGTCATTTTATCAATCTGAAAAAAGAATATTGCGCACGTAATTAAAGTAGTCGTTACCATTTGGTAACATACAATTTGAAGTGGTGTGGAATGTTAACATCTTGATTATACAATTTTTTTCTCTTTGAGTTACTATATGCTATCTATTTTAATTGTTGCTTCTGTTGGCAGTCCTCAAATAATGTAGTTTCTGTTATTTGTCACAGTTCTTTGCAAATCTGTAGCCAATCCAAAATGCATGAATCCATATGCAAATCTCCATCTGATGAGGTTATTTAATTTTGATTCGAATTTTTAGTTTCATGTTTTGGTACCGTAGCAATGAGCGGTATTGAGCGAAAGTAATACATAGATGTTGTTTTTTAGAGAAATTGAAAATTCCACTGAGGAATGATGAGAAGAAAGTCAAAAAAACGAAGATCAGATTGAAACGAGAAAATGAATTTGGAAAAATGACCGAGGAATTAAAAGCCTTGATACGAAAACCAAACAGTCACCTGTAAAGATCTGAAGCAGTTATATAATTAAGAAGGATAGAGATCCTGGCGTAAAACAAAGTGAACGAAGGGAATAATAGGCCTTCGTAAAGAATAAAAAAAGCAGGGACACATTAAAAAAATAAAGGAACTACAAAAGTCTACGCCAGTGAGCGAAATAAAGGGTTCAGTTCGAAATTCCAACCACCTGAAGAAGAACGGAGTGTACAACAGCGGAAACGTTATAATAAATATGGCGACAATAAACTGAATATTGTAAATAGTGTAGATAAGAATATGTTAACCATAATATAAAGCTAAATAGCAACTCGCATCGTGGTACAGGCTTGGTGTGCCATTTCTGCACACAGTTACACGATTATTAGTTTAGTTAAATTGAGCTTCACGGAAAAAATAAAAAAAATCACGTCTTGTGCCAGAATTAACTAATCATTTTAAATATTTGAAAAGAGAAACAGAAAAAGGAAATTCAAATTCAAGAGAGAAATCGAGAAATATTGATAATTGAAAAAGGAAGCAGAGAAAAGAAAGAAAAGTGAGAAAAAGAGGGGAGAAAAAAGAATAAAAAGGACGAAAAAGAAAGAAAAGAAGGAGAAGAAAGAGAAGGAAAAAGGAAGGGAGAAAAAAGAGAAGGAAAAAGGAAAACAGGAAGGGAGAGAAAAGGAAGGAAGGAAAGACAAGAAAAGAAGAAAGGTCGGGAGAAAAAGTGAATAAAGAAAGGAAAGGTGAAAAAGAGAAAAATATGAAAGGAAGTGTAAAAAAGAAGAAAAATATTAAAGGGAGGGTGAAAAAGAAGAAAAAAGGGTGAAAAAGAAGAAAAAAGAAAGGGAGGGTGAAAAACAGAAGAAAAGAGGGGGCGAAAGAAAAAGTAAAGAGGGAGAAGGTGAAGAAAAAGGAGAAGAAAAAGAAAGAAAGGAAGGAGAAGAAAGAGAAGGAAAAAGGAAGAAAGGAAAAGAGAAGAAAGAGAAGGGAGAAAGGAATGGAGAAAAAAGAGGGGGAAAAGAAAGAAAGAAAGGGAGAAAAAGAGAAGGAAGAAAGAAGGGAGAAAAAAGAGAATGAAGAAAGAAGGGAGAAAAAAGAGAAAGAAGAAAGAAGGGAGAAAAAAGCGAAAGAAGAAAGGAAGAAAGGAAAAGAGAAGAACGATAAGGGAGAAAAGAAGGGAGAAAAAAGAGAGGGAAAAGAAAGAAAGGAAGGGAGAAAAAAGAGAAAGAAGAAAGAAGGGAGAAAAAAGAGAAAGAAGAAAGGAAGGAGAAGAAAGAGAAGGAAAAAGGAAGAAAGGAAAAGAGAAGAAAAGAGAAGGAGAAAGGAAGGAGAAAAAGAGAGGGAAAGAAAGAAAGGAAGGGAGAAAAAAGAGAAAGAAGAAAGAAGGGAGAAAAAAGAGAAAGAAGAAAGAAGGGAGAAAAAAGAGAAAGAAGAAAGAAGGGAGAAGAAAGAGAAGGAAAAAGGAAGAAAGGAAAAGAGAAGAAAGAGAAGGGAGAAAGGAAGGGAGAAAAAAGAGAGGGAAAAGAAAGAAAGGAAGGGAGAAAAAAGAGAAGGAAAAAAGAAAGGAGAAAAAAGAGAAGGAAGAAAGAAGGGAGAAAAAAGAGAAAGAAGAAAGAAGGGAGAAGAAAGAGAAGGAAAAAGGAAGAAAGGAAAAGAGAAGAAAGAGAAGGGAGAAAGGAAGGGAGAAAAAAGAGAAGGAAGAAAGAAAGGAGAAAAAAGAGAAGGAAGAAAGAAGGGAGAAAAAAGAGAAAGAAGAAAGAAGGGAGAAAAAAGAGAAAGAAGAAAGGAAGGGAGAAGAAAGAGAAAGAAGAAAGGAAAACAGGAAGGGAGAGAAAAGGAAGGAAAAAAAGACAAGAAAAAACAAAGGTCAAGAGAAAAAAAAAGAAAGGAAGGGCGAAAAAGAGAAAAATATGAAAAGGAGGGTGAAAAAAAAAAAAGAAAAGGAGGGTGAAAAAGAAAAGAAAAGAGAAAAGAAATGTGAACAAAAAACAAGAATAAAGAAAGAATGGGAGATATTAATAGAAAGAGATACAAAGAAAAACAGAAAGGAAGAAACAAAAATAAAGAAACAAGAAATAAGCAAATCAAAGACAAGAGATTAAGCATGAACCTATAAACTACTACCATAATTGATTATCCATAAAACATCACAATCTATCACATAGGTTATATAGGTCACATTGGATGGTTTTTATCAGATGAATTGCAATCAGATTTTGCACGAAAAATACATCATAGAGGCAAAGGTAAATTTGACCTAAGACTGCATCCTATGAAACATCACGCCACACATAAAACTAATTATTATTTTTTTATTATTTTCTCTCTTTGCTGCTACGATGATGGAAGAGTTTGTCAACGATTACCGGCGCTGCTCAACAATATTTGTTTAGTTAGACTTCTTAAAAACGGTCATTAATATTAGTAGATCATCTGAAAGTTTTGTGTTTATCATCAACTCGTCGTCAATAAGTATCCCCTTCGTTTAGTCTTTTTTTACATTTGTTTTATTCTTCCGCGTTTTCTCTTCTTGATTTTGGAGGTTATTTTTCATTGCCGGATCACATAAGATATTTTACTGTTTCCATGTTTTTCATCCAATTAATATATTTGACGAGGCCACATTATTTTGTCTACCTCTGTTTCCATAAATCAAAAGATTTTAACCGATATACCTCACAATATTGTTGAAGTAATGATAGGTTTTAGTGTCTCAGTATATTTGGTAAGTGTTACAAATATTTTCTTTCGAGATAACAAGTCTTCGATGCTCTTTCCTACTCCGCGAGTACTGCAGATTGGAGAGTAGTTTTGGTAGTAGTATTTTTTTATTGTAGTTGTTTTTGCTGTTGTTGTATAAGAAGTAGCTTTGTTGTAAGAGTAGTCGTTTTGCTTGTTGTTGTACTACTAGTAGTATTTTTGTTGTTGTATTAATAAGGTTTATTATTGTAATAATAGTTTTTGTTGTAACAGTAGTAGGTTAAATGTTTTGATAGTAGAAGTAGTAGTTTTATTGTTTTAATAGTAGTATTATTAGTTTTATTGTAGTAGTAGTAGTATTAGTTTTATTGTAGTAGTAGTAGTATTAGTTTTATTGTAGTAGTAGTAGTATTAGTTTTATTGTAGTAGTAGTATTAGTTTTATTGTAGTAGTTGTAGTAGATTTTATTGTAGTAGCATTAATAGTTTTTATTATAGTAGTAATAGTTCATTTTATTGTTGCTGTATTAGTAGTAGTACTTTTTATTGTTGCTGTAGTAGTAGTAGTAGTAGTACTTTTTATTGTAGTAGTAGTGTAGATGACCGTGTGGGTTTCAGTGTTTTTGAATTAGGAACGCGTGCTCTTTATTCCTGATAGAAGGTCCAACTACAAGAACAATGACGGACTCAAGTTGAGTCCAACCGAAGAGAAAGAAAACAAACAAGACCGAGACATATATGTGACAAAGACATTAATATTTGTGTTTGTGTGTGAACGTAAAAAGATTGTATTTTGTTGAATATTCGTACGTACGTGTATGTGTCATTCGTGGCATTTTCCCACAAGTGGGCAAAAACTCAGATTTTTGTGAGAGATCACATTTTTAAATGTGTCCGCTGAAATGCAAAGTGAAAAGAGAACGAGGCAAGAAGTCGTCCAGTATTTATAGTGTAGGGAGAGAGCGTCCCCTAGTGGACAATTAGGAAATTAAGGAGGAGCTAACTCCAACAGTAGTAGTCCATGTTATTGTTGCTGTAGCTATAGTACTTTTTATTGTTGCTGTAGTAGTTATTTTTATTGTAGTAGTAGTAGTAGTATTAATTATTTTTGTAGTAGTGGATTTTATTGTTTTTTCAAGTAATAGTGGTAGTAGTTGTGTGAGATATGAACACGCCCAAAAAGTGAGGCTGTGGTGCAAACATATTGAGTTCAATACACCTATCATGTCAACTAGTTGTCCAAGCGAATGCATCACGAACAAATATTTGTGATAAATATTTTGATAAAAGCAGTGCAGAACCCTGTTAAAAATAAATTCTAATCAAGTCTCCCAAGTTCATTCGAAGAGTCTCCGATTCAGTGTGCATCCACATATCTAGATCTAACTTGTCTTGTCTGTCCATGAACACAAATGCACAGTTTGTCATCCCCTTGGGTACAAATCACCGAAGATAAGTTCAGGAAACACGTAATAAGATATCTGTGATATGGAAAGTGCTATTTTCCGTCGCCTATCTCAATTCATCAAGGGAAAATATTTTCGTAATAACACCTCTATTCTTTTAAGTTCAGAACCCACAAAAGCAATAAAGCGGGTAGCATAAGGGGATTTTATTATTATTATCATTATTATTATTATTATCGAGTATTTTTTTCTTCAGATTTTATTAAATTTTTTCATGCTTAATATCAAGTGACAACAAATCTTTTCGATATTCCGAGATGTGACAATGATCTTCATAAAAATACTGAATTCTAAGGCTGATTTCTAAATGGTTTAATTTTTTCCTATTTCCAAATATTTGATTCTGTCTGTATTTGCTAATCACGGTAATGAGTCCGGTAACCCATTAGAGTTGTAGAGGCACCACTTTGAACCGCAGTAGAAGTGGAGTTTCTTGCGAAGATCGCCTGACGGAGCCCAACGCGCTTCAGGTTGGTTTGAATTTACAGTTTTCCTTCCCCTAGACTATAGAATCCTGTCTGTTCTACTATTCACCGACAACAGGCGGGGAGAATAATAAACTGCTAATAATGTTTCCCAAGAGTATTAAAACGTAAATGAATGTAATGTACACGACTGGAATTCGATCTCGGCTCTCCGATTTCTCAATCCAAGCCGCAACCTATTACTCCATCATGCCCTCCTTTGCTAATAAGGAAATATATCTTTAGATACATGACTGACGAAGCAGAATTTTTCCGCAGTAGGTTGCCATTTCTTTCTGTAGTTGACCACTTGCTACCCAAGGCTATAGAACCCGGTCTGTCTTGCCGTTTACACATAGCTAGAGGGAGAAGAAGTGGATTCATAACTTTCCCAAGTCTATCACGTTCACTTATGTGCTAATACCTTTGGGAAAGGTATGAATCCTCTTTCCCCCCCTAGCTGTGGGTAAATAACAGGACAAACCGATTTCTATAGCCTTGGATGGCAACTGGTCTACTGCAGGAAGAAATGGCAACCTACTGGGGGGAAAATATGCCTCGTCAGTCATGTATCGAAAGATACATGATCGCCTAAGCGTGTATCACGCATGGCACATAACTGACTGTCTGAATATTGTCAAAATTTTCCAACACATTTCAAACTTTTCTACAATGTTCAGAAATTTTTATTTTATTTTTCCACCATATCTCCTAAAGCATCGCCACACATGTCTCTTCATTGACTGCCAGGCCATTTCTTTTAAATTAAGAAGATTTGGTTTTCTGAAATTGATACGTTTTACCTACAACTGCTCCTTTGTTTAGTGCATAGTGTACTAATAATTTTAGGCTAGTAATTGTATCATTTTAATTGCAAAACAAAAGGTGGTTATGCTATAACTGATAAAAAAAAGATTATGCAGTATAACGTATATAGTTATATGGTGAAATTTAAATTACACTTTTTGCTAACAATTCCTGGCCGAATACGTAAGCCGATACCAAAAAACGTTACATTCAACAAGGACTCATTTTTTTTACGGTTGAATCGGCTAGAAACGGAAATTATTTCCTAACAATGTCCTTTCTCATACTTCTCGCTTGTCGAATTCGCTTCCGGCTTCTTGCTTTCGAGTCAACTTCAAAAATGTAAATAGCCTGTCAATCGTTATCAACCGTCTTCTTGATTCCTCTAAGTTTATTGTTCTCGCTTCTCAATATTGTACTTTTTATTTCACACTCATAGTAACTCATAGAGTCTTTATTGCTCTGCTTAGAGTAGGTTCTGTAACATTATACACCTCGTAAGAATTACTAGTAGCATGATTTTTGAAAGCCAAATACTATTTTCCTTCGATGAAACAGGAGCAACAACACTTGCCTTTTCTAACTCCTGCAACACACGCGGTATTTAAGTTCTTCTGAGATCAACGGAAGATTGTTTTGAACTTTACACCTACGGCCCCCAGGCATTTTACGCCATGGTCTAGTGTCATTCAAGACATTTTTTCCAGGAACCGCGGGTGGACAGTTCTCGGTCACGCACATAACAAAACGCAATAAACAAGAGCGCGATAGTCAATAAAATGGGAAAAAAGGTTATTCATTTCGTTGGTTTGGGACCGTTGCTTCAGGCATCTTCAAACAATGATAATTTTTTGGTCCTTGTTTGAAACATTTTTTGTCAATTAGATGTATGAATTGTTTATTTAAAATATATAATTTGTTCTTTATACTATTTACATTGTTCGGACTGTTGTCCACATCTTCGTTGCCATATTCACTACGTTTCGCTCGTTGTACGCTCCGGCCTTCTTCAGGTGATTGGTATTTTGAACTGAACCCCTTCTTTCATTGGGGTATATTGTACTAGTTCCACGTGCCATTCTTCTTCTGGAGGTCTCAGTAGAATATATGTGCCGTTCAACTCAAATCTCCAAGTTTTTGTTTACTTCTGCTGTAATCAGGTATTGTACTCACAGCTCTTTGGATCAAGTCAACCAACGCTTTTATCCACTGAGCCATGTCTCCAACCACCTGAAAAAGGCCGGAGCGTAAAACAGCCGAAACGTCATGAATATGACAACGAAGCCCGAACAGTGTAAATACTGTAAATAATTACAATACCTCATCTCAGAAATATGGACGTGAGTATTGTTTGAGGGACAAATGCCAGTAGTTGTAAAAACGATAATTCGCCCCGTTCTGCTCTTTTTCCATATATTTGATATACGCTGCTTTTATAATGAATTCTTATCTAACAAGTTCCGTTATCCCCCCACCGTATCATTCAAGGATATAGTCAATCCACGTCTTCTGCCCTGTCCACAGTGGATTGTAATTTATACGCCTTTATTTAATTTCAATATTCCTTCTGAAACAATTTGTGATTTCATCCATGTTGACGTCATTTGATAATTTTCTGTTTGGTTTGTAAGAACTTTGATGCATTGTCACGTCACGAATCACTTAACGCA